ATTTTGAGTTTTATTCAAATCCATTATGCAGGTACAATGCAAGTTTATATTTTGCTTCCTAAAATATATTTACACAATGTAACATAGTGCCCTGTTGAAGTTGCTACATTTTCTTTGTTTTCTTTATTTTTTATTTATTCTTTAAGGAGATGCACTGAATTTTGGTCAATAAGAGGACCTGTTTTTTATTTATGCACATAGTTGTACATTAGCAGGAATAGCACAATATGGACGTGAAAGGAGTTATAATTAGCCTATGTCACAATAAAATTTGTTTTGGTTAAAATCAACAAATAATCGTGATAATTAATCGTGATCTCAATATTGATCAAAATAATCGTAATTATCATTTTGGCCATAATCGTGCAGCCCTACCTTTACACACATCGTGTTTCGAATAAAGAAAACGCTGTACTTAAGTTTTTTTTTATTTAGCCTTGCACCGCAAACAAGCAAAGACAGTCTCCAAAATGCATGCAGGACTTCATTCAGGATTGAGGTTGGTGGAGCTCCTGTACGAGGTTTTGCCATTTGAGGATCCACTTAAGTTACGAGGTTCAGTCACAAGTTCTTAGTATAAAAGTTCAATTCAAGCTCTGGTATAAAGTATAAGCAAAATTTTATAAAAAAAATAATAATAATAAAATAAAAACGTTATTAACCTGTATTTTTTCCTAATCAAACCATTTGCAGAACGATAATGTTACAGAAGGAACGCAAAACCGAAACGTTAAAATACTGATTCTGCTCTGAGTGAACCAACTGATTTTTGTTTTTAAGCCCTGCAAACTAATGCCTAGTTCAGACTACACAACTTTAAACGTCGGCAGATCACTGTGATGTTAAGACTACATGACTTGCTGTCTGTAAATCGGGAGTCATTGTGGTGTTCACACTACGTGACACGTAAATGATCCGCAACAGGGCACAAACTACACAAGCTGACAACAGCTGTCACCCAACAACTATCCGCTCCCCAAACCACGTTGTGTCATGAAAATACACGCTAGAAGTGGAGAGGGAAATGACGGGAAACAGGAGTGGTTTATTTGAAGATGGACGACGGGAAGAAATTAGCGCTGCAAGCTGTTTGCGCGATGATCTGTTCTGAAAAACCCAGAAAAAGGAAAAAAACAAGAATATGGGTGAAAGAATGGATAACTTGCTCTCCCATTGGCTGTAGACACTTGCCACCACAAAATGTCAAGTCGGCCGACAGCTCGAAATATTTAACATGCTAGATATATGTCTGGCGTCAGCGAGCCTCTTTGATGCGTCGTTGAGTAGTTTACACTAAGATTGGCGAGTGCTGAACACCCGCTGATTTGCCCCCGATAACAGCCCGACCTGTCGGCGAGGTCGTTGACTTGAAAATCGGGCTCAAAATCCTGTTGTGTGAACTTAGTGCTAACTGCATAAGCTCCATCCATAAAGCGGCGCAATCAGTCAGGTAAACCATATGTGACAGTCAACAAGGTACTTGTCCACAAACTAGACATCGCAACTAATACCCTACTTAAACCTCAACCATTCATCATGAAGTTGCATCTATATAGACTGTCACTCAACTTTGTGGTTAGTAGCACATTAAATTGATAAAGAGTGACCATAGAAAATATATTACAAAAGACTTATATTTTAAATAAACACTGTTATTTTGAACTTTTTTTATCATGGTTTTCAAAATAATAAACAGCATGACTATCCAACATTTATAAATGTTTCTTGAGCAGCAAATAAGCATAATTTAGATTATATTACAGTTTTAGTGTTTTTATTTTATTTTTGATCAAATAAATACAGCCCCGGTGAGTATAAGAGACTTGACTCGTATGAGAGCAAGCATTGCTCTGAACCTGTACGAGTCATTGCACACTGTTCACAGGATGTACATACCTGGTTGGCATGAGGTGGTTGTAGTTGAACACCTTCACAAAGGCCTTGATCTTGGACCTTTTGGCAACCTTCTTCTTGCCCATGGTTGCTGTGACTTTACGAGGATAACGGTCGATGCCTGCGACCAGAGCATGGCTGTAAGGACGGTCTGTGGTGCCATCATCAATGTTCTGAGAGGAGGAATAAGAAGAGCACAACACTGTCAATATAAACAATCATCAAGATGTTATGATTCTATACAAATGTAACCCAGGAAGCCATCTTTCCCTGAAGATGGAGATGTTAAATGGAAGTACCTTGACAATCACAGCCTTGCGTCCGGCATAACGTCCAGCCAGGACCATCACCACCTTGCCAGGTTTCATAAACTTGCCCATCTCTAGAAAACATGAGTATGAATGTACCATTAGCACTAAAAGCAAAACCAGAATACAAAGCAGCACAATGCAAGCTGCTTACATCGCCAAAAACGTTGTAATGGGCAAATTAATTATGTAACAGTTATCATAGTTAAAATGAGGCTATGAATGTAACTTGTCTCTTCGGGGAAGCACATTTATAAGTCTAGATATGGCAGCTTACAGCACTATGCTAACTGGTAATTGTACAACTATTTTAAAACCAGAGTTAAAGCAAATATCTTAACCATTTAAAATGGAACAATTTCATCTTCTTCGCATATTCATTTGTATATTGCACACGAGTTATAATGAACGTATGCTGCCGCTAGTGCCTCAGCACGGCCAGGAATGCTATCATGTTAGGAGGCGGCAGAGACAGAGTGACTATTAAACCCATCATCTCCAAGTCTTAACGTAATATTCAGACAATAAACACTTCAAATAAGCAACAGGGATATTCTCTTTCTAAGTGACAAGAAAGAAACCCCCATAGGTTTTATTTCTTTGTCGATGTTCACGGATTATTTCTCGTGTATAAAACTTACTGATGGTGCTCTATGGCCGACGACAACAGGAAAGGAAGTAGAAAGCGCGATCGTGACCCTTGACACCCGTGGCAAGTGACGTATTTCCGTCGATTTGTACACTTGGGTAAAACAGAATAAATGTTGAATAAATACAGCTGCACATAAAAGTTTTGGATATGCGATGTACTTAGGATTGCGCAAAAATAAGAAATGCCTTCCTTTTAATTCACATGTGTGAAATTAAATTCAATGGTTTCAATTCCACGAATAAAAATGCATAATGGTGCATTCATTAAATGCATAATATGTTATTGTCAAAACATTATAATTGTTATATATATATATATATATGTTTGTGGAAATACCTCAAACGTTTATGATAATGTGGTTATTGTGGGTTATTCATAATGGAAAATATAATGTATTATTAAAAACTACACTGAATAAATTTCTTATTTCATTCTATTTTAATTCTAATTCCTCAATTTTACAACCAACACACAGTTCTTCATCTTACTACACAATTCATATTCAGAAACTGCCAAAGCCATTGTCAATTCTAACAACCAACCCTGGGTGATATTATTATTATTTTGTTTGTTTTTACATCCTTTTAGAAATCAGTTATACATATGTATGATATAAAATAAAACTATTAATAACAGACCAAATCTATTTTGGAAACCATTCATTTATTAATTTAATTATTTTTTTATTTTTTTATGAGAAGAAAGAAAGAATTGAAGAGAATGTGACTGCACCAGATTCAAAGAGCATCCAGAACATTTAATCCATGAAATCACTGAAAAGACACCATCATTACAACTAAAAATGATGGCACAATTTTTAAAAAGTGAATGTAATTGACACTGATTTGAAATTATTGTACAGGTACAAAGATAGCAATCATTTCTGAAATAGATATGATGGGGGGAAAAAACTAACAGATCAGATGGAAATCAAAAATGGCCAATCATATATTCAGGTGTAGGGGGAAAAGAGACTACATTAGGACTAATTAAAAAGGGCTAATAAATGCATCACAACCATTCCTCCATATTCTAATGGTTTCAAAATACCAAATCAATTTACAGTAAATGGTAACAAACAGTCCCTTCTTCCTGCATGATGGTTTCAGTAAATCTGGATTTAGGAGGGTTAAAGAACGTGGAACCTATAATCAGAATGTGTACAGTAGCAGGATACAATTTCAATGATTGTAGTACATTCAATATTTCAGAGCAGTAAAGAAGAATTGACAAGACATGGAAAAAGGTATTCAAGCAGAGCCTTTGAACACTGGCATAGAACAACAGACCATAAATAATTCAGATAGCATATCAGTTTCAAATTCAGCAAATGTGTTTGATGCACTTCCTCCTATAGCAGCAAACAAGCAGCACTACCACAAGATTCAGTTTTCTACAATCAGTTTTACAGTGTCAGCTGGCTGAAATGAGCAAGTTTGTGGAGAGTAGAATCCAGTGATTTACAAACACCAATGAGCATCTCTTCGTCTTTCAGAATGGCCTGAGTGTGTTGATTGCATGCATGGTCTCCTCAGAAAGCCATACGAACACAGAGCAGCAATAACACAGATATGATATGCACTGTCCCAGTGTTTTAAATATAATGACAATATAATGCAAATGGAAACCAGTTTTAAAAGAAAAACATCTTATGATTTGTCTGTGAAGCACTGTACAGTAATGTAGTACAAGCTCAGGAAATGAGTGCATTTAGCTACATAACGTTTATAACAAAAAAATTATTTAAACCATTAAGTTACTAATTTGCAACTATCGGTATGTACTATATATATTATATATATATATATATATGCGTGTGTGTGTATTTTTGTAGTGTATGATATATATATATATATATACGTAGTGTATATATGTAGTATATGTTTTATATATATATATATATGTATATATATATATATATATATATACACACACACACACACACACACACACACACACATATACACTGTAGTAGTGCATTTGCAATGGCCCTTGAAAAGAGTTCACGTAATAAATCCTTCTATATAGTGTAATGTGATTGATTTTGGTAAAAGCTAGACACAACAAACCCCCTCAAAGGTTACGTGGAGGCAGACACATGTTCAGGGTCACTAAACTGAGCACATTTCCTTTGAGTTGTGACCTGCCTACATAATCACCCTCTTCAGTTTAAAGGAGACTGGAGGCATTCGAGCAAACAGCAACAGTGTCTCAAAAAAAGTGCACGAGTTGCTTCACTTCCATTTTTTAATTCCAGTGTACTCGATGTTCTGGGAATATGTTTTGAACTTCTGAATAAAGAGAAATAGTATTACAGAATATGTTTTTTTTATCATAATTTTAAGATTATGAGGGTAAATCTTGCCCAAAATTACCAAATATATTTTTGCTTAGAAAGCATCTTTGATATTTTTCAGCTGCCTGACAGCCAAGTCTACAGGAAGGCTGAATTTGAGATGGCTGAGGCGGCCCAGGATTCGCAGGGCACCTTCAAAGCCTGTCTGGGCCATGTAGCTCCAGGGCTGGTAGTGTGAGTGTATAAGCGTCCCAGACTTACACAGCAGGTTAAACCATGACACAAGCCTCTGCTCATTGAGAGCCATGCACACTAAGGCCTTAAACTCAGAGTCTGCGCTACGTTTGAATCGGCCGTGCTCTTTAAGAACTGTATGGATGGCCCATAACAGAGACTGCTTGGGTGTGACCGTCACAGGACCGCCCCCTACGGGCAAACTGAAGGATTGCGAGAGCTGTCGGGCAGGTGATTCCACGAACGCCTGGCCGTTTTTGGAATGATAGTACTTGACGAAAAGTTCCCAAGGATGCAGGGACTGAGGAGAAGAGCTGAAGGGCAGCAGGCAGGAAATGGGGGCAAGCACCAGGCTCATGCCCTGAGAAGGAGCATATAATCCGTGGGCCAGCAGGTCCCGGAGCGCAAACGCTAGCTCTTTACGCACCAAAGCGGTGAGTTCGTCCCGAGGTCCTTCCAACGACAGGCAGGCGGAGTGGCTGACCACGTGTTCCTCCTGAGAGCTGGGCTGCTGGCGGGAGGCTTGCAGACGCACACACTCCACGGCTCCTTCGAGTTTCTGCAGCAAGGGGCCGTAATCTTGAGCTTCAGCACCCTGAGACCACATGTTCTGGGGCACGTGGCCTGCAGCGCATCCGAACTGGCTCAGAGCGAAGATCTGCAGAACCGCTAAAGCTTTCTGGATGAGCTGAAGCCCGGTTTCCCGCATCCTCTGGGCTTGTTCGGGATCCACTTTGGATGGGGAAAAAAGGGATTTAAAGTTACACACCTTTGCTTTAAAATCGAATAAAATGGTATTATAAAGTGACGTAGAATTACCTCGCTTCATCCCTCCAGTGGCTCCAGTGTTTGGTCCGGCTGCTTGAGCCTGCTGGCTCTTCACACCATCATTTAACAGAGGGTTTCCCACTTCATCTGCGAGGAGCATGATCAGGACAGTGAACCTAAATGTATTTATTTTACTCTACATAGGCACATCAAACTCAAAGGTAACAAAGGTCAGAATTTATGCACAGGAAACTGCAGATAGTGACATAAGAGTCAATAAGATACACACTACCATTCAAAAGTTCAGGGTTAGTAAGATTTCTTTTTTTAATTAATATTTTTTTAATTATACTAATACTTTTATTTAGCAAAGATATAATTACAAAGATATATTACAAAAGATTTCTATTTCAAATAAATGCTGTCCATTTGAGCTTTCTATTCATCAGAGAAACCTGAAAAAAACGATCACGGTTTCCACAAAAATATTTAGCAGCACAACTGTCTTCAACATTGATTGATAATAAGAAACGTTTTTTGAGCAGCAAATCAGCATATTAGAATGATTTCTGAAGGATCATGTGACACTGAAGACTTGAGTAATGATGCTGAAAATTAAGCTTTGCCATCACAGCAATAAATTACATTTTAAAATATATTCAAATAGAAAACTTTTATTTTGAATTGTAATATGCTGTTTTTACTGTATTTTTAATCAAACAAATGATCCTTGCTGAGCAATAAATAAAAGAAAAAAAATCTTTAAACTTTTATACCATTTTCAAGAAATGTTTCAATTTAGTGACTCTAAACATGCGTGCAACCAGTAAGAAAATAAATGACCTCTCTCTGATATCACTTGCAGTTGTTTTTTTCTGCATGTTGGTCGCACCACATGACTTTGATTTAGCAGACACATGTGATTTCAAATATTAATAAGCAATGAAGCAGTTCCTTTTTTAAAAAAATAAAATAAAATATGCAACAAAAACTTCTTAAGGTTCTTTTCAAGGATATTCTCTTAACGATATCAGGTCAGTTTTATAATTGTTTACTCTACTTCCTCCCAAAAATTATAGTATATTTATGTCACTGTACTACACAGTATAAAAAAATACATTTGAAAGTACTTTTGAATAAATTAAGAGAAAAATAAGCATCACATCATTAACCCAAAGCAGACATCCTCACCCTGTATGAAGTTAATGAACATCTCCAGGTCTCTGATTTGGGTCTTGAGCTGCTCAACCAGCTGCTCTTTGACTCGAGCTGGGTTGACTATCTGAGCTATGGCAGAATCCACTCTCTGTCGGAGCTCCTCTGGTGTGAGGTTCCCAATGTCTTCATTCAGATTCACATCCAGCTTCTTTATTAGCTCATCAATGATCACCTACAGTGTTAACGTGAACAGACGCTAAATAAAATGCCCCAACAATGGTTTAAGGGTAAATACTCACATCTTCAAATGACTTTCATGATGATGTCAACGGTATGAGAGAGTTTTATAGTCATACCCTCTGCCTCTCCATGACGACAGACTGAGGCAGTGAGTCATAGCTGCCCTCCTGGTAGGCGAAGCGTTCCAGGTCGTCGAGTTGGGTCTTCAACTGGAAAATCAGTTCCTTCTGCTTCTTTCTCTGAGCTTCCAAGCGCTCCCTCTTCTCCCTTTCACTCTGCAGATTATAAAAGCATAAACACAACTTAAAAAAAACCTAAAGTCAACCTTAAAATAACCACAATGTTTACATTGTAGCTAGCTGAAGATATTTGCATATGCTCCGTTGAAGGATAATGAGCTTTTAATTGGTTTGCTTCATTTGGCTTAGCTTTGCTTATCCCGCCATGTAATGCAATTCAGAATAGACATAACTATAATTAGCTAGACACACAACGTGGCTTTAGTTTAACCATAATCCTGTAAATGTCTACATTTAATAGGCTCTAAGGTACAAAATGTTACTGATTAATACAAAAAATAAAAAGAGAGAACAAAACCAAACCAAGTATGAATGGTTTCACGTTAGAAATACTTCAAATAAACACTACTGCACAAGGGTCATGCTCATGCTACTCACCAATTCATCCTGCAAGCAAAGTGTGCAGAGGAGGAAATAAGGAGAAAGGAAGGCATTTTAATGGCAGTAACAAGATACTCCAGCATATTAGAAGGAAGGAACAGTAAAAAATACAGGGAAAGAGTGACTTTCAAATGTCCCTTGTACAGTGTTTACTGTGATTTTTATCACAATACTGTGCTGATTATTTTAAAGGGCGTGTTGATAAGGTGCTGAATGGCACAAAAAAATAATATTTATAACAAAAGAGATGCAGACAAATTGAATGCTGATTCCTGAAGGCAATAACAGGGACTTTGTATAGGCTGATTATGTGTGGGTGGGGGTTTGTCTTGTTGTTGGTGTGTGTGTGTCACAGGTGAATATTGTTAGGAGCTACTGAGGAGTACTGAAGCAGGCCTATTGAAAACAAAACAAAACTGATGACACTGTATATTAGGGGTTTTCAAACTGGGGTCCATGGAAAAGTACAGAGAAAAACAGAGTAAATAAATAATAATGCTGAACTTAGATGCTTCCAGCTTGGCCAAGCTGGTTTAAATCCCCAAAACAGTAGGTCTTAGCTGACAAGCAAGAGCCTAGCCAAGCTTTAGCTGGATTGCCAGCTGGTCTTTCTGCCCAAAGACTATGGATCGCCTGACCAGCTACTCACCGCTTTCAAAAGACTAGTCTGACCCTACTGAGAGACCAGCTAACTATCTTAGGCTGGTTTAATGTCTGTGTTTTCCCCCTGCATGATAGAGATCGGATCCACTACGACAGTAGCCTAAACAATGAAACTCACGGAGTTTTCCAGCATCTGAGCATCCTGTGATCTGCACCCGATGACATGAGGGCATCCTTTGAAAGCAAAGTCCTCCAGCTCCAGGAGCATCCGCTCTTTCTCGTCGCCCTGCGCGTGGACGATCTGTTTCAGTCGAAACTGCACTTGAGCGAAGTGAGACGTTAACGCGAGGAGCGATGAATTCAGCTGCTCCTGCTCATCCTCTAGCTTCCGCACCCTGACTACCATGTCTGCATCGCTGGACAACACGGAACCAGCCTGCGTGCTCCTCTTCCACTGCTCATCCTCCGGACTGGCCACGGCTCCCACGGGCGCCCAGCGCTCCCCGGCTCCCGCGAAGGCAGCTTCGCTGTCGGAAGTGGACAGATCCTCCGTCGACATCTGATTGACAGTTGAAGACAGCCTGGCTGCCCTTTTACACAAAACAACTTCGATCAACTTAATTGATGCGCAGTTTTTTAATGTGAATTCAGAATATACGCGACTACTCCTTCAGCAGGTGCAGCGCGGTGTAATACGTCTACAGAAAACATTGCAACGTAATCGAAACGACTAAGATCTCGCTGTAATATGGAACCAAAGCACCAGAGTTCCAACAGACGTGTTGTTCTATCAATATGTTCTATGTATCAACGAATGTGTGGACAGGATGTTCACGTCAGTGCGTAATGACGTCAGCGAAACGCACAGTTAAATCAGTTTGTTGAGCGTTTCTGTCCATATTTACTCTTCCTTCAATTCTCTCTCTGTTTGTTTTAATGCAACGCCCGACGTGTCGGTGGATTGGACTGCGTGAGTGCGTGCCAAACACACCCTACGATTTTTCTGCCCCAGCAGAGATTTTTATTACATGACACCACCGACCAGGGAGATTTGATAAATAATTATTTTTCTTTCTTTCTTTCTTTCTTTCTTTCTTTCTTTCTTTCTTTCTTTCTTTCTTTCTTTCTTTCTTTCTAGAAAGTTGTACAAGCAGTAGGCCTACTTGTGATATAATACAGGAAAGACATTGTCTAGGAAAGACATACATTAGGTTATGGAAAAACTGTGATCACTCACAGCACATAATATGACAATATTGTTGAAATAGGAAAAAAGTTCACTGTCGGTCAGTCACTTCGACGTTGTCGATGTGATGACACTTGGGGTCGCACTTGACTTGGGAGCCCCATCATGTAACACCTCTGATCATATGGTGCGTTCAAGTCATCTCGTATAGATCGTATTTACGAGTTGAATGCACTTGAACGCCACCACAATGTCGTAAATACCAGTGGGGAGCTCGGTATTTTCTCTAAGCCCCGATCTTTCCGAGTTGTGGGCGTGTCACTGAGAAACATGGCGGAATACCACAATACTTAAATATTAGGCAGTGATATTGTCAAGGTTTTCTATTTACAGCGCAGTTAAGCTAATTGCTTGCACAGAATATGATTGCATTATAATATAACAATGCAACATGTAACGATAAAGTTGGCAGTGGCTTCATAAATTAATTAAAAACATTAAAAAACAGAGTACATCTGATGCCAATTTATTTGTTCTTCATTTTCTAGAACAAGAGTTTAAGAACCTTACTGTATTTTTGTGTAATTAATTAAGAGAAAGTACTCCGCCATCCATCTTACTCCGATGAAAGTGACTTGAACGCACTGCCGTCGTAAACACGACTTCCCACCTCTTAGGTACGAACTTCCCAGGAGGACTTGAACGCACCAACAGACTGTAATAAAATGTATTTCTGGATGCGGTCGACACCTGTCTGCCACGATCGCTGCGTCAGTTGTTTGGCCTGTGCAGCCCTGTGCCCGCATGCTGAAGCAGCGTTTGTAGACGGTGCATGCACTCATAGACCTTATTCAGAGCCGCGCCAGGTATATAACAGTACAACCCACTGAAGAGATGCATGTCTATCCCTCACAGCCACGCTTTCATTCCAGTTAAAAATCTTATACCTCACAGTCTTATAGAGAGGCTGTCCCTCCCCTTCCAGTAGACCACCATGTAGGCCTTATTTCGGAAAAATATTGTACGCGAGAAACAACACATATTTTGATCTCGTTTGAATTGTGCCCTGAATTACACATAATGATGTTTGTCAATTTAAAAGATACATTTTAAAGTCAAGAAAGTTGCAGTTTGATGTAAAACTGTTGAGGTATAAAGACTGTGAAAATAGGTAATTACAAAGACTACAAACCCAAAAGGCGCACATGTGACGTCATACCTTTTCTCTCAATGAATGAAGCTAAGTTTAAGGAAGCTAACGTCTGTAATTTTTTCTATAGTCTTAAGGCCTGTTCACACCGGGACGAATTTCGCGCGCGATATTCGCCGATGTTTAACGCCTCGTGACTAAACAAAGGGTGCCAATGTGAGTGTACACACCGACACGAAAAACGCCACGCGTAAAAGCGTCATTTTATTAAAAAACGCCGCGGGTTAGTTTTTTTGGTTTGACGCGCCGCGTCAAAAACTACCCGACCAATGAGATTGGCGATTTTGCTCACGTGTCTGGAGCTTCTGAAGTTACAGTAAAAGTAAAACACAACTTGGGGGCGCTCAAACACAAAACGGTCTTGCTGAGCACACATACGTAACGGCGAAGAAGATATACGCCAAGTAGCATCTTTAAAAGATGAATGTAGAGCTGCTGGTCTCGTTGGTCGGAACATAAAGAACTATGACAAACGCGACAGCGACTACAAAATAGGACTATTTCTGTTTTACATTAAGCGCCATCTATTGTCAGGGAATGAATTTGCATGTTCACTCGGCTCATCGTCAGCGAAAATCGCTTGGGTGTGAACACAAAAAACGCGTTGAAAAACGCTGACGAATAACGCGCGCCGATATTCGTCCCGGTGTGTACGGGGCTTTAAGGCCTGTTCACACCGGGACGAATTTCGCGCGCGATATTCGCCGATGTTTAACGCCTCGTGACTAAACAAAGGGTGCCAATGTGAGTGTACACACCGACACGAAAAACGCCACGCGTAAAAGCGTCATTTTATTAAAAAACGCCGCGGGTTAGTTTTTTTGGTTTGACGCGCCGCGTCAAAAACTACCCGACCAATGAGATTGGCGATTTTGCTCACGTGTCTGGAGCTTCTGAAGTTACAGTAAAAGTAAAACACAACTTGGGGGCGCTCAAACACAAAACGGTCTTGCTGAGCACACATACGTAACGGCGAAGAAGATATACGCCAAGTAGCATCTTTAAAAGATGAATGTAGAGCTGCTGGTCTCGTTGGTCGGAACATAAAGAACTATGACAAACGCGACAGCGACTACAAAATAGGACTATTTCTGTTTTACATTAAGCGCCATCTATTGTCAGGGAATGAATTTGCATGTTCACTCGGCTCATCGTCAGCGAAAATCGCTTGGGTGTGAACACAAAAAACGCGTTGAAAAACGCTGACGAATAACGCGCGCCGATATTCGTCCCGGTGTGTACGGGGCTTTACGTTATAATCGTAACGTTACGCCGTCATGCCTGAGTGTTTTGTACCAGACTGCACACATACGAGCAACGGATCTTGCTCTTTGTTTCGCTTCCCGGGAGATGTAGTTCATTGAGCGATTTTCACATAAAACTAAATGTTACTCTTCTGTTTTATGACAAACTGCGACTTTCTTGACTTTCATAATTATCTTTTAAATTGACAAACGTCATGTGTGTAATTCAGGGCACAGTTCAGACGGAATAAAAAGATAAGTTGTCTCTCGCCATTGACTACATACATATTTTTTCCGAAATGAGGTCCCATGAGCCGGAAGCGGAGGGGAGGGACATTTGTTTACTTATTTGTGGTATATTTTTATAAAATTCATAAGAATCTTAAATAAAATTTATTTTTATATATTTTATTTTTCACCATTTAAATAAATGCATATAAATGTGAAATTGTATTTCTAAATTTGAATTTTATTTGGATATATTTAAAAGTAAAAATGTGAAAAGAAGATACAAAAGAAAATGAACAGACAATTCTATTTTATCTATCTTTTATTTATCTTTTAGAACTGACAGGGTTTCAGATCGGTCACATTTTTACTTGAGAAATCTTAGTCATTTGTCACAAAGATCAATCAATATAGTTAAAAACCGGTAAGCATTTAATTCAATAAAGAACGAAATTACACAAGAGTAAAGATCAAGACTTGCATAGGGAAGTTACACAGAAAATATAAGGTTAATTTAATATATTTCCTTATCCAGGGCAATGTAGTCATAATCACAAGAGTGCATGATGTCAAGTCTGAAAAAAAATAACATGTAAACCAGAGAGGCCTGTGACGTGTACATGGAAAATTATTATGACCAGCGTGTGAATTAATGTGTAAATTCAGCCACTAAAGGTCTACGCTTGTTCATACATTTTTACACTATTCCATAGTCAAATTAGTCTTCAGATAAACTGAGCAGTAACCAAAACACTGGAAACTTATGTAAAATTATGAACACTGTGTACACACTACAATAATGACACATTCTTAAAATGTACAAATGGCTCAATGGCTAAAATGTAGTTGGTATTACTGATGTAAACAGAACTTAACCATCATAGTCAGTCCTCATCAAACTTTCCCCTGCTAATAAAATCAAACTTTTGCAGTAAACTGTCGGATTACCTCTGATTAGTACTTTGCAAACAATTAAAAATTAAAATCTGACACTTGGGCCATTTAGAAGTGTCTGAGTGGAAATAACCCAGGTGTTTTTTTATAGAGTTGAGGCTCGTTTCTTTTTGGAGAAGAACACTCTCCAGTTGTCCCAGTTGTTCCAGTCAAAGCCAACGGCTGGAGTACAAATTCCCCCCGCGCCACATTTGTATCCAGCAGGGCAGCAGTGTTTCATATCATCACAGCACTCCGCCTTTAGAGAGAGCAATAACAAAGGAGAGAATAGAGTGAAGGAAAGTAGAAGAGCAAGAATAGGAATTTGCCTAAGATAAACATTTACAGTTTGACTGCCATTTGAATTTACAGTAGTATTGAGATCAATCTGCTCGTTTCCATTAAGAAATTCATTCTTCGATGCAGCTATTGTGAATTGGAGCTCTAAATGAACACTGTCATACCCTCATGTCGGTCAAAACCTTTACAACAAAAGAAGATAATCTGAAGAAATGTTTGTTTCTATATAATAAAAGTCATCGGTGTTCAAAACAACATTGGACCCCACTGACATTCATTGTATGGCAGAAGTTTTATTTTTTGAGTGAAATATCCCTTAAATTAAACTACAGTAGTCAACAAGTGAAGTGGATCAAAAAAGTTAATCAAAGTTGTCCTAAGACAAAAACGGGTATTGTTCAAAATTCATGTATAACTTCGATGAAAGGTTTTGATCCACTTCAAATGTTGACTACTGTAGTTTAAAACAGCTAAGTGCCTGCCTTTTGGTTGAATTTTTTTTTCTTAGTTTCCATTAAAATATTTAAACTTCCTTTAACTATATAGTACATGTAATTGAGAGGAAAAATTCCATAAGCTAATAATAAAAATATAGAATATATCTTGAAATCAATTTTTCTTACTATATTTGGCATTTTTTAGTTTTTCAACTTTAATTTATTTCTGTGTTTTATGCTTAAATATTTTTTTTATAAAACTATTTGCTAATAAGAAAATAAATCTGTTTCAAGATTTATTCCCTAAAAAATAAGTATTTTTATCTTCTCAAGTAAGACACAAGGGTGAGTAAATGATGTCAACATTTTGGGTGAACTTTCAATTTAAAGTTTAATACTTTACCATAGAATACAGGCAACAGCCCCAGGAGGTCTGAGAGGTTGGACAACAGGTCTGACCATATTGGCAACTATATCCACCACCACACTGAATGTCCTTTTCCGAGACACTCGGCTGTGGCTTTTGGACACCTATTTGGGCAAGTGGGACTCTTTCCACAAACAGCCAAGTGGTCTTTATGCAGGAGCGTTTACGCAGGTCACACTTGTAGCCTTTGGGACAGCAGTGCTCCTGGTCTTGGCAGCAAACAGCCTATGAGGTTATAAGAGGTTTATTAAATATATTAAACGTGAATAAATCTTCTGTAGCCAGTCCACATACACATATTTTTACCTCAGGAAGAGGGCAGCAGCCCCATTCTCCCGTGGTTAGATGGCAACAGGTCGAATCTGCAGAGCAACTCGATTGCTCATCGCACTTATTGGTGCCGAGATCCGAGTTTGGAGATAGTGAACTTTGAGCAGCAATTTTATTGTACCAGGGGATCACAACATCTCCCTTGATGCAAGACACACGGCTCACATCGCACCTATAGTGAGCCGGACAACAGTGTTCCCCATCTGTGCAACATACAGCCTGAAAAACAATGAGAAATAGATTCAAGATTAAAATATTGACCTTCGCAACATTCTCCTTTAATAGAGTATTTGTTTTGAAAATGGCAAAACAAATTGCATATACCGCAAAGTTTGGGGTTGGTGAGAATATCTCTTATTCTAATTTAGTGCTGCATTTACTTGATACAAAATATCCATAAACACAGTAATATTGTGAATTTTTTTTTTTTACAATTTAAATAAACTGTTTAAATATATTTTAAAATAGAATTTATTCCTGTGATGCAAAGCTGAATTTTCAGCATCATTACTCCAGTCTTCAGTGTCCTTCAGAAATTATTAAGTTAATATGCTGATGATGTGCTGCTCAAGAAACATTTATTATTATCAATGTTGAAAATTGTTTTGCCGTCTAATATTTTTGCGGAAACCATGACAATTTTTCAGGATTCCATGATGTAAAGATAGTTATAAAATACATTTATTTGAAAGAAATATTTTCTAACATTATAAATGTCTTTACTGTCACTTTTGATCATTTTTGTTACTTGCTGAATAAGTATTGTTTTCTAAAAAAAAAAAAAAAAACCTTTTATATATATTTCTGACCCCAACATTTTAAACAGTTTTGTATTTAGTATCTATTTTCAAGCCAGTGAGAGGTGTGCATATCTGTTACAAGGAAGTATCTGAAAATATATATATACACATCAAAACAAAGGGCCCTCTTAACACTGTAGATGCAATGCCATGATTGTGGAACCAGGCAAACAGGCTCCAAAGTTAAACAACAACCTGCAGAACATGTTTAAGGATAATTTAGAAGATGTTTAGTAAGGGATAATGTACATCCAGCCGGTGGTTCTCTCAAAATAACCCCCGACAGGATGATGAGGACCCCGATGTAATATAAGTCACACTCACATTAGGCAGAGGGCAACAGCCCCATTTGTTGGTTTTTACAATAAGACAGCAAGTGGTGTGTTCTGGACAGGAAGTTTGTGCATCACATGGAACCCTGATATACTTCCCCACTTCCTCTTTCACTTCCTCATGCTGTCTCTGTTCCTCCTTATCTGAGTCTGGGATTATGTCTGACATGGGTACAGAGGTGGTGTTGCTATTACAGGTGAGTGTTACAATGTCACAAGTGGTGCCGTGTGGACAGCAGTGGAATCTATCCCTACAACACACAGCCTGCAGACAAAACAGCCTGACTTTTAGTTATTTGTATGATTCATTATAATAATATGTGCACTATTAGTATTTGTTGATGGGAAAATAAGCGTAATTCAACCTTACTGAACTTTTGAAAGGTTGAATTACGCTTATTTTCCCATCAACAAATACTAATAGTGAACATATTATTATAATGAATATGTTCTTTCAAAAATTAAATAATTTTATTCAGCAAGGAGGAATTAAATTGATCAAAATTAACAAACAAAAAACAAAAAACATTTCTGTTACAAAAAAGATTTATATTTCAAACAAATGATGTCCTTTTGAACTTTTATCAAAGAATCCTTAAAAAAAGTGTATCACCGTTTACACAAAATTTTTAAGCAGCACAACTGTTTTCAACATTGATTGTTTCTTGAGCAGCAAATCAGCATATTAGAATGATTTCTGAAGGATCATGTGACAATGAAAACTGGAGTAATGTTGCTGAAAATTCAGCTTTGGCATCACAGGACTAAATTACATTTTAAAATATTTATTTCAAATTGTAGTAATATGTCACAATATTACTGTTTTTACTGTATTTTTTTGTTATCAAATAAAGCCAACCTAGCATAAGACATTTCTTCAAAAAATTATAAATAAATAAAAAAAAATTCTGGAAGGCGGTACGTGATCTAACTGTTAAGATTGTGAAAACCCCGCTGGACATTACACAAACACTCTTTGGTACGGAATTGGACAAGACACTGGACACCACATGCAGGAAGAGGATTATCATAATGTCTTATATAGCAAAGAATGCATCTTGCTCAATTGGAATCAACAAAGACCCCCATCATTTAATCTGTTTAAACAAATCCTAAACAAAACTTTAAGACTGGAACAATGCACATACGCCCTAAAAAATAAGTGGGATGCCTTCCGAAGGATTTGGGAACCGCTTATGGACCTCTGACACTACCATGTCATGACAGGGTTTGGCATGTTTACATAACATTCACAAAGGATGAACTGTGATCTGTGACCATGGACTGACCTGATTTAATTTGCTGTATTATTATTATTATTTATTTATTATTATTATTATTTTCCTCTTCTGTCTGTTATGTTAATAAAATAAATAAATAAAATTGAAAAAAATAAAAATAATAAAAACAAATCTTACCGACCCCACACTTTTGAATGGTAGGGGATTCTCAGAAAATTCTGTCTGAAAGTGTGAATTTCATATAATACTGAAAAGTCTTCTTATTTTACACAGTTTGATTTCTCAGATAAATGTTGCTAGGCACTTGAACATTATTGTGAAACAGGGACTGAGGGATATATCACCAAGAGCAATAAAATTCAAAGTTGAAAACAGAGTGTATATTTTCTCATTTGGTTACTCATGCAAGATTAGATTAGTATTTTTCCTTTGAGATATACTGTACCTCAGGCAAAGGACAGCAAGCCCAGTCTCCATCGACATCCTTACAGCAAGTGTTGGATTCAGGACAAATGTGACTAGAGTCGCAATTCACGTTCTCAGTTGACCTTTGACCTGCGACTCTAGGGTGAGTAGGCACCTTCTCCAGCCAGGGCGAAGAGCCTGAAGGGTCATCACATGACTCGGCAGCAACGTTACAAGTCTTACCATGAGGACAGCAGTGGATGAAGTCATCACAACACACGGCCTACAGAGAAAATGAATGCACAACTTTAACTTTACCCAATATACATCTCTACATCAGGATTTGCTATGCGAGATGGAGATGTATTGGTCGATCTACTTGTCAATGGGTGATTTACCTCTGGCAGAGGACAGCAGGCCCATCCTCCATCTTTAGTCTTACAGCACGTGGTTCCATCTGGACAGCTCGCAGTGTTATTACAGGGGACATCTGAATACACTGAAGACACTAGAAATGATAGAAACAGATTAAGAACGAGTATATCTGAGTATTCATGTGTCTGCATGTGCTGGATTCAGTGCTTTGAGCTACCTTGTGTAACAGCCAAGTTCTGACTGCTGATTGGTTGGACGGGCACCTTCTCCAGCCAGGGCGAAGAGCCTGAAGGGTCATCACATGACTCGGCAGCAACGTTACAAGTCTTACCATGAGGACAGCAGTGGATGAAGTCATCACAACACACGGCCTACAGAGAAAATGAATGCACAACTTTAACTTTACCCAATATACATCTCTACATCAGGATTTGCTATGCGAGATGGAGATGTATTGGTCGATCTACTTGTCAATGGGTGATTTACCTCTGGCAGAGGACAGCAGGCCCATCCTCCATCTTTAGTCTTACAGCACGTGGTTCCATCTGGACAGCTCGCAGTGTCATTACAGGGGACATCTGAATACACTGAAGACACTAGAAATGATAGAAACAGATTAAGAACGAGTATATCTGAGTATTCATGTGTCTGCATGTGCTGGATTCAGTGCTTTGAGCTACCTTGTGTAACAGCCAAATTCTGACTGCTGATTGGTTGGACGGGCACCTTCTCCAGCCAGGGCGAAGAGCCTGAAGGGTCATCACATGACTCGGCAGCAACGTTACAAGTCTTACCATGAGGACAGCAGTGGATGAAGTCATCACAACACACGGCCTACAGAAAAAATGAATGCACAACTTTAACTTTACCCAATATACATCTCTACATCAGGATTTGCTATGCGAGATGGAGATGTATTGGTCAAGACTCGAGCTACTTGTCAATGGCTGATTTACCTCTGGCAGAGGACAGCAGCCCCATCCTCCATCTTTAGTCTTACAGCACGTGGTTCCATCTGGACAGCTCGCAGTGTCATTACAGGGAACATCAGAGTCTGAATATGCAGAAAATGGACAGGTTTATGTTAAATGTGTACATGTGTGTTTGGTTTCAGTGCTTTGGAGTGATTGTTGACCTACTTTGTGTGTCAATCAGATTCTGACTGATGACTGGTTGGACGGGCACCTGCTCCATCCAGGGCACACCAGAACATGAAGGGTCATCACATGACCCGGTAGCAACGTTACATATCTTACCATGAGGACAGCAGTGGGTGAAGTCGTCACAACACACGGCCTACAGAGAAAATGAAGGTGCTCCTTAAGGCAAAGGTATCTGCATGATATTCAAAGGTATTACATTACACATTTTTGAACAGTAGTATATATTGTCAAATTATTTAAATTATATCTAGAAAATATATTTACTTAAGTTGACAGCATATTTTTTATGTTTTACCTCCTACAGGAGTAATGTTAGATGTATAACATTTAAAATAAATAAACTAAAAGTAAATTTTGTTTTTATTTTTATTATCTACTTTTTTTTTCTGATGCCTGGACCCCCAAGCATCCCCAGTGCAAACCATCTCTGGCTCTGCAGTTATTGTAGTTATTGGAGGGATGTTACGGCTGAGCTAATTGAGTACTGTTTCTGCTTAAGTAATAGATCAGGTGAGGTGATTTACCTCTGGCAGAGGACAGCAGCCCCATCCTCCATCTTTAGTCTTACAGCACGTGGTTCCATCTGGACAGCTCGCGGTGTCATTACAGGGAACATCTGAATACACTGAAGACACTAGAAATGAAAGAATCAGTTTAAAGGGGTCATTAACAGCATTTTTATTATTTTATAATGTTTCCTGAGGTACACTTATAATGTTAGTGAGATTTTTACCTCAAAAATTGCCAATTTATAAATATATGGTCATTTTATACCCTGACTTTAGCCCTCTGATTTGAACGCTCTGTTTGAAGGGGCGTGTCTACTGTGAGACTTGTGTAAACGCCCACTGCTGTGATTGGCTAACATCTTTGCATATGAAATAAGTATTGCATGTGGAACTCTTGAAATCTTTTACAACATTTTTACTATTACAGCTGTCGAGATTAACTAATTGTAAAAAGTGTTGATTATAGCATTATATTTAGATCTACTCCCGATGCATGAAATGTTGCAGTGATGAGCATTAGCCAATGACATACATTTCCGTTTAGCGCATGAATGCAGTGATCTCATCATTGATCAATTTCTGTCCTCTCACGCATGCTTTCATCATAACTAACAGTGCAGACATGGTGTAAATAAGAGATTCATTGTGCAGTGTAGACAGCGTCATTGATTATAATGGGAGTTTTGGTGAGAGTCCAGAACTCAGACATTGATAAACTTGCGCTGTGTGATTGACAGCTCTAGCGATTGTAAAGGGAGCGTTCTTTGATCGCTTCCTGTACATAATTTAATCACAATTTAAACAACAGATTATTTTCATGCTACTAAGAGGAACAATATGAAATTGACCTTTTAGTCACTGGCTGGATATACTGACGCATAAACAGCAATAAACGATTTCGAGACAAAAAAACGTCTGACTGTACATGAATCATAACATATCACAAAAGTCTGTTTGCAAAACCTGCACTGAAATTGCGACTGATTTACCAAAGAATCCACAGTGAAATGTAGCAAACAAACAAATAAAGCTCTACTTAGACATTCACATAGTTGAAAAAAAAAAAACATTTTCCTAGCATTAGGATCCTTTGGAAGGTAATGTTATTTTTAGACCAGTCATCTTGTATCTCTCTTCTCTTCTCACTAACGTGCCAGTGGGCGGGGCCAAAGATGTGATGATGTAGAAGTTGATCTGACTCTGCAGAGGCAGTATTTTGTTGCACTATCACATCATAATGTGATAAAATACAAAATGAGTAGTCTCCGGAGCTTGCTTTCAATAAAATCTGTTTTTGGACTAAAGAGGAAGTTTTGAGTTCTGAAACTTACAGGATTTTTTTATAGTACAATGACCTCTTATATGTCTTATATGTTATCAAAAGATCAAGGACTATTTGATTTCCCAATTCATGACCCCTTTAAGAACAAATAAAATAGTGGTTTTATACTGTGTCTGCATGTGCTGGATTCAGTGCTTTGAGCTACCTTGTGTAACAGCCAAATTCTGACTGCTGATTGGTTGGACGGGCACCTTCTCCAGCCAGGGCGAAGAGCCTGAAGGGTCATCACATGACTCGGCAGCAACGTTACAAGTCTTACCATGAGGACAGCAGTGGATGAAGTCATCACAACACACGGCCTACAGAGAAAATGAATGCACAACTTTAACTTTACCCAATATACATCTCTACATCAGGATTTGCTATGCGAGATGGAGATGTATTGGTCGATCTACTTGTCAATGGGTGATTTACCTCTGGCAGAGGACAGCAGGCCCATCCTCCATCTTTAGTCTTACAGCACGTGGTTCCATCTGGACAGCTCGCAGTGTCATTACAGGGGACATCTGAATACACTGAAGACACTAGAAATGATAGAAACAGATTAAGAACGAGTATATCTGAGTATTCATGTGTCTGCATGTGCTGGATTCAGTGCTTTGAGCTACCTTGTGTAACAGCCAAGTTCTGACTGCTGATTGGTTGGACGGGCACCTTCTCCAGCCAGGGCGAAGAGCCTGAAGGGTCATCACATGACTCGGCAGCAACGTTACAAGTCTTACCATGAGGACAGCAGTGGATGAAGTCATCACAACACACGGCCTACAGAGAAAATGAATGCACAACTTTAACTTTACCCAATATACATCTCTACATCAGGATTTGCTATGCGAGATGGAGATGTATTGGTCGATCTACTTGTCAATGGGTGATTTACCTCTGGCAGAGGACAGCAGGCCCATCCTCCATCTTTAGTCTTACAGCACGTGGTTCCATCTGGACAGCTCGCAGTGTCATTACAGGGAACATCTGAGTCTGATGCAGAAGGCAAAGGAAATGACAAAAACAGTTTGGGAAGTGTTATATTTTATGTGTACATATAATGATGCATGTATTGTCATCTACACATTTCCACATACTTTCTGGGAGTGCACCAGGCAATGTAGTCATTGGGTTTCCAGCAGTAGTGTTTTGTCTGATTGTAGTGACTTCAGCTTCAGCCCTCATTTCTGCAGCTTTTGAAGGAAAGCACAGAAATTAAAATGCTGAATTATATCAGTGAAAGACTCTACTGGAAGTTGTCAGAAAATGTATAAATCTCGGGGAGAATAGCCTACGTTTGTGATCTTCCCATTCAGCCCTAAGGCGAGCAGGAAACTTGGCCCACATGGGCAGCTCCTGATTGGTGGAGGACATGCATTTATTGCCTTCAACATCACAAACACTGTCCTCTGGGCAACAGTGGATTTTATCATCACAGCATACAGCCTAAAGAAAACGCACATGTCAAAGAAAAGAATCCAAGTGAAAACTTTGGGAACGGTCATTTTTTGCAATGATTCTTGTTAGATTCTTTGATTAATAGGAACAGGATAACAGGATGTATTTGATATAGATTTTTTTTTTGTAACAATGTCTTTACTGTCACTTTTTCAATTTAAGATATTTATATATATATACATATTTATTTAAACATGTTTCTCCAACTGTGAAAAAAATAGCATGTCTGCACATATTACTGTATCGAAACTGTACCCATACCCTTGGTAAGGGGCAGCACGCACATTGACCATCTTCTGTCTCACAACACGTGGTGTCCACAGGACACTCTGAATTCCCATCTCCACAAAGAACAGTCTCAACTTGTTCTAAAAACAATCACATGACAAAAATGTAGTTGTAATACACAAAGATGATTTACATTTATTTCCCATCCAGATTACAACATTTAATCTGTAAATGCTAAATATAATAATAACGATAACTATATTAGCGTCCACACCAACTCACGATAACTTTGTTTATTATAAGCACTCTGCAATTATGCCGTTTGCCGCTGTAAATGCTCGGGCTTTATGAAGCAGGATGGAAACTGATTGGCTGTCAATGTTTTCATTGTTCATTAGCTGGAAAACATTGTTCTGAAAGTAGTTCCAATGCTATTGTTCCTCGTTATAGCTGTGGTGTGGACTTCTAGAATTAGAATAATTATTAAAACTTCATAGTTAAAGTTATCATTATAGTTATCGTTCTTGGTGTGAGCGGGCCTAAAAACCATAATACATTTATGTGGGATAATGTTTTAATCATTAAACTCTCTGCTCCACCTTCATTCCTTCACTCTCCTCAATACCTTTTTGTTTGACACATGAACTGCTGTCTGCACTACATTCATGGTCTTTTGGGCAGCAGTGTTTCCCGTCTGAGCACACAAGGCCCTGAAACCACCAAAACTATAGTCAGCATCACAGCCAAAAAAATGTAAACCAATTCTTACTCCATTTATATATTCATTTAGAATTCATTGGCTCTCAAATATTAATCTGTCCATATAGGTTTCTGTTTTAGCCACACCCAACCTTCTTTTGGGTCAGGGTCCTGATGCAGGCCATTCATCATTTCATGGACGGGGACTCATATTCCTGAAAAAATATAACTTACTTGTGCTACTGGACAACATCCATAAGATGAAGCCATCAGCAGACAGGAGAACTCAGCAGGACAGAAAGAGCCGTCAGGACAGGTGATGTCGTCTTCACTTACAGGTAATGAGGGGATCATTCTGAACGACTGAGGAACAAGAATTATTAAGACATTACAAACAGCTCTGAGTAGTATTATTTCATCTCTTTATATAATTTCTCACTTTGGGAAAGTCTGTCTGTTTAGCCGGTCTCCTCTCCACCAATGGCAGTGTATGTGTGGCGTTTATACATGTGAAGTCCATAACACTGCACAGCATGCCTTCAGGACAGCAGTGCATGTGGTCCTCACAACAGTCTCCCTACACATACACACAATTATACACATGCATGAGCTGATCATTTAAAAACTTCAGTGAGCAATGCAACACTGAAGCTGATCAGCTGACAGGCAATCTCCTGATTACAGCTTCATTTCTTTGAGTTCTTTGAATAGTAAAATAATCGAGTTAAATAGTAAAGTCATTTGCATGTTGACACTACACGAGTGCCTTATCATGACCTTTATAAAAAAGGAACTGACACTGTGGATGTCTAGTAAAGGGTCCTATTAAATAATATCTGACAGAGCATTAAAAAAAATTAGTGACCGCAGAACACTTTGGCTTCCGTATCAATGTGCAATTAACTTCGTCTTGTCTAATCTGATCCGCTTTCTACAACATTTATTATATTTCTAGAAGAGTATCTGAAACGAATACTCTGAAATTAAACTGTCTTTCCCCTGGTTTCACAGACAAGGCTTAAGCTAGTCCCAGACTAAAACGCATGTTTGAGCTGTTGTAACTTAAAGCAACTTGCATTGGCATATCTTAAAATATGTCAGTGCCATTGTTTTGTCTCAAGATGCCTTTTTTTCCAAAGGCCCATTCATAAAAGCTACTTAAATGTCCTAATTGAACTAAGGCCTAATCATGGCTTAATCTAAGGACTGTCTGTGAAACCAGGCCTTTAAGTATCTGTCACTATAGTTCAGCCTCTCACGTGATGGAAAGGGCAGCAGCTGAACTCTCCGGTGGGATCCTGGCAGCATGACTGGCCTGCCTCACAGACTTCATTGTTGGGGCACTGCGAACAAGCAACCAGGGTCACCAGAGCGAGGCCTACAGTCAGTTTCAACATCTGGATGGAAAGAGAGATAGTTCAAATGTTAAAACTAACAGAAAACTAACGTGAAATGCGACTGATGCGTTTAAGTGGAAACATTATGCAAAGTCATAAACAGTTGAGTTTACAGACTGCAACATCTCAGATGCAGGGTCACAATTTTGTTTTTTTTTTGGATGTACAGTTCACTTCATGCTCTTGCATATATAACAGTGCAAGTATGTAGTTTTAATTCTGGCATCGCTTCCTCTTTCACATCTAGAAATGTTATGCTCGCCAGAGAATCTATCCTGACCCCAGAAATAATAACTGAAACTAAGCATTATGAATGTTTTAGAGAACGTTTTTCAAATCCAGCAAAAAGAAATTTGGATATAGTTGGTCAGTGCCTTTGTCTTACTAGTCAATTAAAAATGTGCAATTTTATTTCCTTTTCTAAACAAATGGAAATTCCCTTGTTTGCCAAACCGACAGAGTGCTGCAAAAATGAGGAAGTGTGAATGTTGTAGGCTATTTCACCTGTTGGTAAAATACGCACCTAGTTGCTTTTTACCCTCAACATAATGCTAAAATGAATAATTATTTTATTCAACACCAACAAACCTCTTCTGAAGTAAACAAACGAGAGAAAAATGCTCTTTAATTCAACTTAACTTTTTATGTAGGCTTATGAACCGGTGGATTTGTAAAAAGTTGAAAGTGAATGACCAGTCCGTGGATCCGCGGGGTCCAAGTTACCGATCTGTGAGCAGAGATAAATGTTAGATAGGCTAGTAAATAAATAAACAAATAAAACTACATCCATCTTTCCATTTAATTATCTTTCACAGTTTGGTAGCCTACACAAATTAATAGGCTATGAAATAATAATAATAATAATAATAGCTAATAATAATAAAAACGTCTATAATTCTAAACAGACGTTTATCAAAGTTTAATTTATAATTTCGTGAGTCATTCATTGTAGGAAAAAAAAATCATATAGCAACGAGTGACGCGTGTTTCTGCTTTATGAAGCACAATGCACAAAACACTTTTGAACGGAACTTTTACAATTCAGTTTAAAAATACACTAAGGACGTCAAAGACGAATGAAAGATATGCAAGACCTACCTTGTCTCCTCGCAAAGCTCCCACACGGTGTTGGAATAAAGAAACTTTTACTTCTTAAATAACTTAAGACTTCTCAAGCTCCGCCTATTTTAGAGGACAACCTTTAATGTAACTGTCAATTATTCACAGTCAGAGGCGTGTCATCAATGTTTGATTACAAGGAAATGTGCATGGCAAGATAATCACGGACGAGCACACGCAGTGGTGTCAGTTCACCAAAAGCCAAGGTATGGCAGACCATGATGATGTCATCCAATCTTACTCCCTTGACGTGACAGTCCCACTTTCTTCACACAACCTTTTCCAGCACTTCAAAGCTCAAAAGTCTGAATATTATCCAATTTAAATGTTATTTTTAATGAGATTACCAAAAACATTTTTGTTCATCCTACAAAGATTGTCCCCATTTGTAAAACTTAAAGGCAATAAATCAAAAACCATAGCCAATCAGAACAGCGTGTGGGCTCTCGGGCAAGTGCACGACACCCAAGATTAATCTTGAAGGCACTCGCAAGGAAATATATAAGGTTTATTTTATATTTTTATCAGAGCATTCGAACATTAACATAACAGGCTAACATGAATAAAACTATAACACTTCACAGACTGAGATATAACAATTGGTATTATATAGTAGCCTACTAGAATAATAATAAATAAATAAAAATCTGGCTTTATACGTTCTTATAATATTTAAGGCATCCGTAGGCCTATAGCTATAGGGTTAGCTCTTTTTTAAATATACTATACGGGTGCAGTTTTCAAAACTTTACATTCGTGAATAAAATATATTTATTTTTTTAGAAATAGACAATTTATAACAAAGTCTACAATTTTGCCCTCCAAATTGTGAGGCAGGTGTGAATCCAGGTGTGACAGGTGTGAATCCACATTAAATCTTAATCTTAGAAATTCCTTAGCTGGGTAATTATCATACATAATTTAAAAATGTATTTCTTTTGTGGAAGGGGAAATAAAAGATATTTGGTTCTGAATTCCTTTACTGATTTCCTACTGAGATGTTGAAAACTGTAATCTCCTTTTATACAACCATGGGATAGCTTTCCTGCAAAATACAATTTCTTATACAATAGTACACTTCTTATAAAAAAAAATATTTTTTTACAACTATCCTGGAAATAAGCGTGAAATATTAAAAATGCTTTTAACAGAATCATTGGTGAAGGAACACTTCTGATGTCTTTCATGCAATCTTTTTTCTCATAATTAAAGTTGAATTTGGTGCAGAAATAGCACTGACCAAATATCTCTTTGCCACCACTCCTCCAAAAACAGGAATCTTTTCTCTGAAATAATATACAACGGTTATTCCATAAGGATATATTATGTGGACTGAAATTGTGTTCACCAAACGAATATTGTTATGTATTGGTCTACCCTTAATGAACCTGGATTGAGTCTCACTAATTATTTGTGGAAGACCCACACTGTCAGGGTTTGGGTTGATGAAAGTATAGCGAGGACTCAAATGCAGAGTGATGGGCTTTTATTAAGTATAAAATAAAACAAAAACAAACAAAAACTACCCTGTGGGTGAAACAAGACAGGCAGCAAGACTTTACAAGAACTGGACTTGGCAGGGGGCATTAGACGACGAACCAGCACAGGACTGCAGACACAAGGAGAATAAATATAGGGAAGCAAACAAAAGAGGGTAATGAGGGAAGGCAGGTGGGGCAATTTAACCAATAATCAGGTAACGAGATGGCCAGGGTTAGACAATTGACAGGAGAGCACATGGCACAAGGAAACATACATGACAAGCCATGTGCTCACACCAGACATGACTGAAACACAAGCGCATGGCCAGTAAAACAAATCACAAGCCATGTGCTAACACAAAACGAGACATGAACACGCAGCCAATGAGAACTCATAAGCCATTTGTTCACACAAAACATGACAACATGAAAGCACACAGCTAGTGTAAAACAGTACACAGTACAAGACATTCTAGATCTTGCATTTGCATTGGGTTTAATCCAAGAAAATTGTCTAATGTCTGGATTGTGAAGTCACCAAATATCAATCAAGAGGTTTGAGAAGCAGAAATTTGGAATATTGATTTGAGTCATTAAATTTAGTTAATTTAGTCTATACCCAGCAAACAATTTTACGTTCTGGGAACGTTCTTTTTTGGGAACCATACGGGAACGTTCTGTGTTTGCTGGGTAGCCACTCATCTGGGGTTAAATTGAAATCTCCACCAATTCTGTGAGATAAATGGACTTCAAAACAATTATAATATTAGTAACTGAAAAAAAGCGACCAATGACCATCATCATCAGCTCTGTGAAAAGAGATTTGACCATGGGCATTTCTACAAACAAACAGCGACCCCAGCAGATGTGCTTCGAGCCATGGGGCTGTTTACACCTGGCCACATGTGTTTTCTCAGATCGGTAGCTATCTGATTTATCAAAACGATTCCATTTACACCTGGTCACATAAATGTGTTTTTGCAAAACGGATATAAATCAGATCTTCAATTCCCGCGCTATATGCAGATTTAATGGAGGGCACGTCACCGAAAGCACAGAGCTGTATTTTATTGATCATCAACAAAAATTTCGAAATCAAAGACCGCAATAAGAGAGAGCGGCAACAGCCCTGGTAAGATCATTTAATTTCTTTACTTTTAATAAAGATGATTGTGTGTTGTTAAGCATCTGCTACTTTCACTTTGATTTGCGATAGTTTGTGTGTATTAAAGCAACACCATGTGATTTTTCCTCAGCGGTCGCCCTACAGTTTGGAAGCAGAATTGTCCATTACTGCTGTCGTAAATAATTTAGCCTTCCGCAGCCGACTGTCGCACGCGCACGCTCGCTGTTTATCCAGCACCGGCTTTGGAATCAACAATGGCAGACATCCCAACTTGCAAGAAGTCATTTCAGGGAGGTATATCTTGGTGACTGAATTGTTGACGGGGGGGGGGGGCGGCGGCTGGTGGCGGGTTGACTAGCTTTCGTGAGGCACACTCGCAAGGTCTCTCGCTCTCTCTCTCTCAGCCGTGCTCGCACTATGTATGTTATGCGTGCAGTATGTTCTGTCTCGCATGCGCGCTCTAGATTCCGGCAGATCTGAACTAATTTGCGGGCATCAGGGAGACGCAGGAGACTCCCGGGAGACTTGGGATGTCTGCAATGGCCACAGACAATTTGAGGAAGTGGTGGGGGAAGTGACGTATGCCGTAAAGCAGTCGAATTTTGTAGTTCTTTTTGTGCACGGGTTCCTACCCGAAACCCGAAGTTACATAGTGCCAGTAAAAGCGATACAGACCACGTCAGGCTATGGCAGACGTGTCATTTAACTTATTTTAAGTCGATGTACCATCACAAGGGTCTTGGAAATATATTATGAAGGTTGAAAAACTACATAGTGTTACTTTAACTCTTTTCAAATGAATTATAGAATTAGTAAATGTTATTTTTATAATATTGTTTAAATGCTTATTTGTTCATTGTTTAAAAAGAAGAGTGATATTATTTGCATTTATTTAATTAATTATTTTCGCTTGGCATACCAGCGTGATGACGTCCTCGTACGCCAACCCGCGCGCCCGTGATGTGCTTCATTCAGAGTAAATACGACGAAGCCATCATTGCAGCGACCGTTTTATTTCTTCATTAATCTTTCTATACTTCTTTTCAGGTAACTAAAACACTTCGGTTTTGAGTATAAATATTGTTTAATCCAATACTGATGAGTTGTGCGTGTTCAAAGCACTTTGTTTTACTAAATTAATAGTGTGTCATGAGTTTGGTATGCCTGAGCACATGGTTTGCATGACTGCAGTCAAGCCAGCCTCCACCTCGAAATGAGCGGTCAAACTAGCCGCCCCTATATTTCTCTATGCGCTTATACACTAGGTATTACGGTAAGACCGTCAACCATTCTGAAACCATTCAGTCAACCATTCTTCCAGCGAAGGCTATTTCAGTTAGTCCGTCCGTCCGTCCGTCTATCTATCTATCTATCTATCTATCTATCTATCTATCTATCTATCTATCTATCTATCTATCTATCTATCTATCTATCTATCTATCTATCTATCTATCTATCTATCTATCTGATGTTGTTTTACAAAATAAGAGCCCCCAAAACTCATATATTAGGCCTACCTGTTGTCTCCATACATTCAGAAAATCATAAAAATAAAAGTCCTAATTTCCACAGACCAATTCCACGTCAGATGGAGAGGACACCTTCTCAACGTGTCCCCTGCAAAGTTTCAGGACATTCTGATGTTGTTTTACAAAATAAGAGCCCCCAAAACTCATATATTAGGCCTACCTGTTGTCTCCATACATTCAGAAAATCATAAAAATAAAAGTCCTAATTTGCACAGACCAATTCCACCTCAGATGGAGAGGACACCTTCTCAAGGTGTCCCCTGCAAAGTTTCAGGACATTCTGATGTTGTTTTACAAAATAAGAGCCCCCAAAACTCAAATATTAGGCCTACCTGTTGTCTCCATACATTCAGAAAATCATAAAAATAAAAGTCCTAATTTCCACAGACCAATTCCACCTCAGATGGAGAGGACACCTTCTCAAGGTGTCCCCTGCAAAGTTTCAGGACATTCTGATGTTGTTTTACAAAATAAGAGCCCCCAAAACTCATATATCACCTGTTGTCTGCATACATTCAGAAAATCATAAAAATAAAAGTCCTAATTTCCACAGACCAATTCCACCTCAGATGGAGAGGACACCTTCTCAACGTGTCCCCTGCAAAGTTTCAGGACATTCTGATGTTGTTTTACAAAATAAGAGCCCCCAAAACTCATATATCACCTGTTGTCTGCATACATTCAGAAAATCATAAAAATAAAAGTCCTAATTTGCACAGACCAATTCCACCTCAGATGGAGAGGACACCTTCTCAACGTGTCCCCTGCAAAGTTTCAGGACATTCTGATGTTGTTTTACAAAATAAGAGCCCCCAAAACTCATATATCACCTGTTGTCTGCATACATTCAGAAAATCATAAAAATAAAAGTCCTAATTTCCACAGACCAATTCCACCTCAGATGGAGAGGACACCTTCTCACCGTGTCCCCTGCAAAGTTTCAGG